TCCTTCACACAAAATAAGAAACTGCCTGTCTCTCTCCGCGCCAGCAGGCCCCTCTCAACCCACTGAACAACTGGACTACCTCGAGTCTTGACTGCCTGCCCCAGCATCACCCGCCCAAGCCAGGTGCCAGGTCGAGTATTATCGCTGCTTTGAATCATGTTCTTTTGGCCCAGTGACAAAGGCTCGTGACAAACCTTTCATACAAGCACGTGTCAAATATATTGTTAAACACGTTTGTTATCTTAGCAAGTGTTTAGGTGCCATGTTTTCTGCAACTGAGGTTTCAGTTAGCTCAAATAAACACATTTTAACGCCGCTTGCCGTTAGCGTTATCAGCAAAGATTTGGGGATAGAGAAAATTACAAGGCAAACTGCTGATGTCACTGATCTGTAATATTGTTTATTTTTGAACAATATTACAATGACAAATGTCAGATACAAGAGCGACTTATGTCCACCACACAGATAGTGAACATATGCCAGTATCTATTGGCTGTCTTTCACAATGAAATTTCAATGTCCATTTTTGCATCCTTGCTAGTTTTAACAAAAAAGAACAAGAAGAAGAAGAATACCATTAACGGAAAGACCAGGGTGATCGCGGAGCAGGAAGCGAAATTGACCTTCAGGGCGGAATAGGCTGGGTAGTAACAAGGCACCGGTCCTATAAGCACGTGAACCTCAGCCATAGGAATCTACCATTCGCCAAATCTACCTGTCGACAGGGCCTACGAACGTTGCCGCCGGGCGCTCTCGAGACGAGCCCACTCGACATTCTCGCTCAAGTCGCGGTCAGATGTGCACGCACCCGGCAACCGTCCGTCACAGGTATACGGTGAGTTTGGAGTATTGGTGTGTATTTTAAGATTTCATAGCATATTACTTTTGGAATACGAGCTTTACACATTGTTAACAGCATCATGCTTAACGCATAAGCTTTTCAATATCTGAAAACGCAATCAGAAAACCGCAGTGCTTATTTCGATGGTGTACCACAGTGCTGTAAATTTTCTAATTGACTATTTAAAGAGAAAAGATGCTTATTCATACAACTTATAAAGGCTAGAGAGATCAGGTGCAAGGTTAGTAGGACTTGCTTGGTCTGCGGCGATGTTTTGCTGGGTCAAAGTCGCCATTAGCGCCCCTACTTCCTCATCCCGCAACAAGGTATCAATTTTCAAATCACCATATCAAAGGTTGGGAATAATGCCTGTGGATATTGCGACAGAGCATTAGTGATACCGAGCTGAAGTAATATGTGTGACCCACAATGTGATCACTATCTTATCATAGGCCTATCCCATGAGAGATTTTCGTGGGGAGCTTTCAAGTGTTCCATGTTCTACATGTGAAGACAATAATATTAATGGTGTAAGAAACATGAAATAAACCTATACATACCTTCATAAAACATATACAATTATAATACACACTCATCTCTATTGCATTCATATATACTTGCCACATAACGTACGCATCTATATTATTAGGCTGCACAATTGCATACTCCCTCACTCACCCCTTCCCTCCCGCGCTACCCCTCAACTCCTCCCATTCCTCTTTACAACCCTCCCTCACCTCCTCATCTACTCCCTCCCTCCCTTTCTCCCTCTCTTTCTCTCTGCCCCCCCTACCCTCCCCCCCTCACTTCTCTCTCCCTCAGTGCCTCAACCCAACTCCTCTATTACACTGTGTTTACACTTTAGGTCGGATTTGCATGCGTAAACCTTCTGGGCAACCTCCATGTTGGAGGCCCCATAACATAGGGGAAGCTCATAATTGAAGACATCCATGAGAATAATGTAACTTAAATTAATTAACTACATTAACTATGATGGTGGAAGCATGCTAGGCATTTAATGCATCCAGTGTTACCTGCTCAGGAACCAAGGTGCATTTCTGCACATATTTAATGGTTCATAGAAAAAAAAATCCCCTTAAGCATCCAAAATAATAGGAAAATTACTTAATTTTCTTCTTTAAGTCCTATCATTAAAAATGTGTACTGTTCAACAAATAATGAATTATTGTTTAAATATGAAAAATCTTTTCTTTGATAACATGGAAATAATCAAAACATGGTTTTGTATCTACCACTGCATAATCTTTCTCTCTCTCTCTCTTCTCTCTCTTCTCACACACACACACACACGCCACACGCACGCACACGCACACGGCACACACCACACACACCACAAAATGTAATTGTTTTCTGTCATCAATGGAAATTTAAGGTATCAGATTAATATAAATTTTTGTTTCCAGTTAGAAATACACATTATTATAAATATTACTTTTTGGTTAGCTGTTACACTGTTCGTCTCTTTCTCTGAGGAGATATAGTCACTCTCAGAGGCCTTGGCAGCAGTGTGTGCAAAATAATACAAACAGCTGTACAAAAGAAAAAAATTATGGCATCTAGAAAAAAAAAATTGGTCACTTCATGTTGATGATGATAATAATACTGGGAGTAGCTATTTCCTTGAATACAGCATTTTTATTTCTCAAGTGTTCATCATGAACATAAATAAGATGGCAGTGCCCATTTCCCTCTATCTACGCACATTGGTGTCTTCAACTTATACCATTCTTTGTATTCATATTTCTTTTTGTAGCAGTATATTACTAGTTTGCTGGTTATCAATTACATCAAGATTCAAGAAGTCTGATTTTTAGTAACCTCATCTTCGATATTGAATTACAACATATGACAAATTTAAAATGATACAATTCTACTACATAACAATATCTCAAAGTCACCATATCAAACATTTGAAACATATTACTACTACATGATATTGGAAAGTAAGTAATGTGTGTGTATGTGTGTATGCTTATATATATATATGTAATATATATAATATATATATATATATATATATATATATATATATATATTATATATATATATATATTAATATATATATAATATATATATATATATATATATCAAATATAAATATAAATAATAAGGGAATATATCTGAACTGACCTCTGCAGATTCTAAATGGTAATGTATAACTATTAGATCTCAAACACCTTTTCTTCATCAAAAGTCATAATTCAGTTCCATCTACTTCAAATGTAAAGAATGCCAATTCAATTGCTATTTGTCATCATTGAATTGACCTTCAAATAAAGAAACTCATCTATTATTATATCATTATTATTTTTTTTTTTCTCTCTCTCTCTCTCTAAACCAAAACAAGATTTTGTTATTTAGGAACTCCTATTGCTCCAACTGCAATAAGAATTTGCTTGTATATTACAAGTAAGCTACACAATTTTACCTTTAAACACTTATCAAATGCAATATCTCGTAAGCCTCTTGTGGTAAAATATATATTTTAATCCTCAAAACAAAACAAAAAAACATACATATAAATCGTAGCTAATGTAAATAAAAATCACATCTGTTTAGCAGTACTAAATCATTAATTACTTCACGTAGATATCAATATGATCACTGAACTATGTATAAGATTTAACAGGGCTGTAGAAAGAAAGAAAACTACAAAATTCCCATAAAGTTCTCCTAAACAGTTTATGCTCTTAAAAAAATAAGATAATATTAATGGTCCTCTTTTTTATGAATTCCATAAGTGTCCATGCATATGCAGATGATTTATTATAAGATACTATAAAAAAAAAAAAAAAATAATAATAATAATAATAAATAAAAACAAATAAAGCTAATCATCAGCAATTCAGGTATTGTCTTGGGACAGGTCTAATGTGATTTTTTTAATGACACAAGATATACAAATCTGATAAAAATCAATAATTCTCACATCTACAACATTTAAGCACTTTTTGCCATTAAACACTACCACCATTTTTTAAATTTATGGCAGATATTTTTATACCATAACCTTGTAAAAGTTTTTGGATAATTACTACCAACTCTGTAATTTATTGTTTTTATTCTTCTTCTTTTTCAATGGGATAAATGCCATGAATACATCTAAACAATTGCCACTGTCCTATCTATTGGCACTCTAACAATGGCCAACAATTCTCCATCATATGTATTTTAGCAAGACAGAGCTTGTCCACACTCTTGGTGGTTTATTTTCTTAAGGAACCAATTCAGGCTCAGTCTTGTTAAAATGTCAGGTAGAAGTCTATTGGCCTTTGCCTAAGCATGAAGCCTAGAGGTGACGGCACCATTTTTAGGCTAGACTTGAGATTGTTGGCATGCCATATTACAGCAATTTTCATTTAGTATTTGAAGAAAATGCCAATGTAATTACGAGAAAAATCATTTCATTAAGTCCCTGTAGCTATGTTAGTAATATTTACCATTAATATAAAGTACCTACAAAAGTTATCTGATAAGCATAAGCGCGTTGGTATGCCTTTTCTATGTATATCTGATAAGTCAACATTAGACAGCAATTTTGCACAAAATATAGGTACTGAAATATATCAAACAATCTTGCAAGAAATATGAGGATGAGCCTCCTACACCCCCAAAAACCTGCTTTACATAAAAAAGGAATGTACACATACTTATCATAAACATTTACACAGATAAAATATCAAGAATATGAACAGAGTGCCACTTCAGTCTTCAGGCACTACCCTAAAGAACTGATTATCCCACCCTTTTCAAGCACAATATCTTATCTGGGATTCAAGGGTGTTCCCGTTTATAAAAGAAAGAAAATATGATGTAATGAAACAACACTAATTCCTCACAGAAAATACAACAGAAAAGAAAAGATCATTTCCCCCAATGACCCGGTCATGGCCAGTCTTAAAAGGCGAGGCCGATACAATACCTTAAAAAGAACTGAATATATACCTTAATTGTATCTAAAGGATGTCCGGCAGTAACAAGACACATTCCACCGAAGCCCCCAGCGAGGAAATCTTTAGCTGGGCTAACAGGCATCTTGGAAATTTAATGAAAAATCTAATCGTCTCCCAGCGAACTTGAACCTCAAAACCCCACCGTCGCCGACTCGCGTTGTTGCCAGGCTGGTGGAGGTACCTTCGGTTGTGCCAACCTGTAGGGTATATTTCTATGGACGATATAGATTCTCTTTCAAGGTTTATTTTTGGTCCGGTTTCATTGTT